CATGGACAGGGTGACCAACAGTTGGAAGCTTGATGAAGGTTGAGCTCATTCGACGGATTGCTTTCAGTACAGCACGCAAGTGACGCGTGATCGTCTCGCCAGATCTCTGAAATCGGCACTGCAGTGCACGACTTGATGCATGATGCCCGCAAAAGTACAGGAACATGGCGAGCTGCTCGTTGACGGAGACTTCTTGAGTAGACCGCAGCTTTCCGATGTCGACAAGTGCATAGGCAAGCCGATGGAATACGACACGTGGCATCCGTAGCATCTCGACGACGTTCTGTGGGTTGCCAGCGAGGATCTCTTCCACCCACATCGGCCCGCTCAGGATTGACGTGTGCTTGGGAGTCTTGTAAACAAAGGCCGAGAAGTGGTAGACAAGCATCTTGACGAAGAGCTCGCGGCGTCGTCGTCGTAGATTGAACCATTGCTTGATGAACCTGATCGTGACGTCTTTGCGCATGCTTGTTTGGCGCGGAAGGTACACAACACGAAATATACGACCTGGAGTCGTATATTATTTATCACGGTTTCGGCCAGATACTTGATAAAATATCACAGAAAAACGTCATCTTCAAGTGACGTCCAGACACGTCAAAACTTCGATTTGAGATTACTACTCGGGCCCACCGAAGGTGTCCACTTTCGAAATTGGTCGAGGCCCACTGAAGGTGTCCACTTTTGATTTTATTGGTCAAAAATGTAAGAAAATGATATTCATTGGTTAAAACTCACACGAAATAGGTGAGAGGGCAAGCGGCAATAAGCGCCTCGGGGGGCCATTCAAGTGGTTCTTTCAACTCACCGCGCCGTCTCTTGGAACGCTTGTTCACACGCTTGATCTTGTAAGTATTGTTTCCTTTGCTCTCAACAATCGATTGCATAACACTCTGTATAGTGAGGAAGATATTGTTTCGTCGTCGAGCATCACAAAGTAGATATGAAGTGGACAATTTATGGTCCATTCTTAGCATACATTAATCAAGTATAAATAGTGGGTGATTTCAAATTGCCCTATTTCAGCCATTTTGGCGTGAATTCAATCAAATGACACAGCAATCCAATCATCAAACGCTCGGCTTTCATTATCTACCAATCCGGTAGTCTAGAAAAAATCCGCCAATTTTTGCGGATCATTCAAACAAAAGTGGACACTTTCGTTGGGCCCGAGTAGTATGTCGAAAATGTCCAAATTATTTTGATTTTACGTGATTTTGGGTGGCATCCAGACGGGCCTTTAAGGATAATACCATAACACATTAGGATAATTGCATTTTAAGAATCAGTAACAAAGTGTATAGTTTTTGTTTGACGACAGCAAGATCAAGTTGTATCATATCATGTGCTTGGACGTAGATACTATGGTCATCGATTGGCCAAAAATATTCTAAATTTCCAGAGGATGATTTTGGACGTCCATAATATTAAAACTTCAGAAGTATGGTCGAGTACCACGGGGGAAGGATTTTCGTCGTTCCCTGCACTTCGGTGCTTCACGTTGCCAAACTTGATTTGCACCTTCAATCGATTCGAACATCGGCAATCGTTTCTTTCCGTTTCACATTGATGGTGGTTTTGGTTCAGGTTGATCGGGAGAAGGTGTAGTAATGTCGTTCTTCGACTTTTATTACGTCATTCGGTGTGAGCCCACGTCGACGACTTAGATGACGTTGACGAATTAGATGACCCACCACTCGAACTTTTGGAGTACTGCGTAGTCCAAGCAGTCATACATATGCATCGGACCACCCTCGGCAAGGCGCATGTCGAGGCAGTACCCCTTGTGTGTCAAATGGCGAATCTGCTGCGTCACGCGATCGTATTTCCACTTTTGGTTGGCGTTGTTGTTGTCGCACGGCCACAAATGGACGGCCCCGCCGCGCTTGGGCTCGTACGCGTCTAAGCACAGGTCGCGTTGGTTGGCCGCGTCCCACGTGGCGATCTGCCCCTTGCTTTCCCACACCGACCAGATGGACGGTACGTCGTCCTTCCAGGCCCATCCCCATCGCGTGTGAGTTTCGACGGAGGTACTGGACCACAGCGCGCCGAGTACTTTGTCGTTCGGACGATTCATGAACACAATGCCGCTGTAGTCCTTGGCCGGGTCCACCGTGTTGAAGTCGAACTTCCAGTTCCCATTGTCCCACGCGAGCCCGAACGATTTTTCATAGTCGACCCACTTGCCGTTATTGTCGTGGAACATAAAGTAGGCGGGGGTGTCGCCGCCGTTGCCGCGCTTCGCCCATGCATTCACGTCGTTCATGTACCTTTTGGCCGTCTCCATGCTCGGGACGTGGCCGTTGACGGCGCCGCCGCTCGTGGGCCACCCGGTTTCCGTCAAAACGACCTTGGATCCGTACCGGTTGGCCATTTGATTCCATCGTGCCGACAAGTCTTCGATCGGGTTCCATCTCGAGTTGTCGGACGCACCGAAAAACGGATGAATATTGACTCCGATCACGTCACACTCCTTGGCCAGGTCTGCCGCCCGTTCAAGCCAGTCGCCGTCCGTTTGCACCGACCCGACTTTGATGTACCAGAGGCCGGCGTCATTGAGCATCTTGCGCATCTGACGAACCTTATCCAGGACGAACCACTGGTTGTACTGACCACCGAGGAGTTCTTCGTTCCCGACCATGATGGCCTTTACCGAGTTGGGGTGGCGGCGGGCGCCATCGACGGCGGCCACCATGTCCTTGTACCATTGGTCATTCTTCAGCCACACGCCAGCGTAAATCACCAAGCCGGTTTCAGCCGCTACATCGATGTGGTTGCGAGCACCTTGCGTTTGGTATGTTCGAACGCCGGAGAACCGCTCCTTGATCCGCTTGAAATGGTACTCGATGTTGCCAGCAGCGTAAGAGTTGTACGAGTCGTAGCACACCGACACGTCACCGGCAGCGCCCACCGAGATGCTACTCGTGGAGAAAGTGTTGGGGTAAGTTACCAGCGCGACAATGACGCCTACGACGAGGAGCGCGGTGGCTGAAATAGCCAAATTCAGTTTGCGCTTGCGGGTCAGTGGCGCAGAGCCCAAGGGCATGATCTGAACGGCCGAATCGTCCGCGTCGATCGCAATGGAATAGTCTACATCCGGGGCCGACATCGACGGCGTGGTGGGGCACATGATCTCGTTGTTCGACTCAGTGGACATGTCGGTGTGTCGATGCAAATTCAAATCTGGAACTTAACCAGCCATCATATTAATGCGCCATGGACTACGTGCGGACCAGTCTCCATGACGCGTTGTGCATTGTGCCGTACAGGGAAAAATTTCCCCACACTGAACAACTCTCGAAACTCGGCACATGTGCCCGAACTCTCAGCGACCGTGCAGGTCGCCCCAAGCTCGTAGGGACGTGGTACAGCCATCCGATTGCATCGCTGGCCCTTGCGCTTTAAAGTAGTGGACGGCCATATCATGTTGTGTCGTGGCGTCAAGTTCGAGAGGTTGAATAGAGCCCACAAGTTCAGTCTGGTAGTTCTCGTCCTTACGCGAGGTCAATTGCCTAGCTTCGCTACACTTAAGATATCGAAATCGCTCGTGCAAATTATCCATAATTGTGGCTCCGATATCTTGGGCCAAGTTCGCCCTGGGCGTGGGATATGTGCCGCCAGTGATGCGTCCATGATGGTGCTTCGAGGGTGGAAGCGATCGTTGTCGCTGCCGAGACAATGTCTCGTTGTATACTGTATCCACATTGCGATCATTTTCACTTGGACTATTCCTGGAAAACAGGCGATCAAAATCTTGTTGGTGACTGTACAGCGAACCTCGGAAAAACCCGACATAGTGTCATCCTGATTTGCTTGAAGAATAAAGTCAAATTTGTTGAAAGTGCCGTGAATTAGTCCAACTTGATTGGCTATAATCAGAAGAATTTCAGTCAGTCAATCACAGCTATTTTTGTATCAATACTGCAATTGGTCAAAAGGAATAGCATTTCTGACATGGTATTGAAGTATACAGGTGGCAGAATCGTTCAAACCAGATCATGTGTTGGAGGTGGTCGTTTTTTTGGGGGGTGTCGGCCATTTTCACTGTACAGTATAGGCAGGTGTACCCCGATCACCCGCCGACCATTCCGATGCGAGCTGTGGCGGGAAGGTAACCAAGACGATGGCCACGTGGCTTCGAGTGTGCAGGTCGGCGGCCACGTCCCGGCGGCCCACGTCGTTCGCTGAAGCCACCAGCAGATCTCCCGACCCTGTACATTCACGGCCGGTCTCAGAACCATACCACTGTGGATGTGTGATCAGGTAGCCAGAAATCAGTTGCATCGCGCGCAGTTGCGTTCATAAAAGTGGATCGCGTCACTGCTGGATCAGGGTTGAGATGCGCGCTATCAACGGGAGGCACGACCTGGCAGGTGCGGCGTCGGGGAGTTCCCACGCCTCGCACGTTGTTAGAGTCCATGCCTGCATCACGTGCATTCGACGTGCAATGCAGTTGCAATCGGTTTGCGGCATCGAGAGCACGACGCTTGGCTTGCTCGTCGGCGTGATCTGTACGCCATGGACGGCCGAAACAGGACCGGTCGTGGATGAACTGGATCTGACACGTCCACGTGACGCCCCACCAAACTCCCACGCGCGTCGAGTTCAGAGCACGACCGGTACAGTGTACACTTGGTCCTGCGACCAGCGCGTCGCCCAGCGCCGCCCTGTGCTCTTTGCCCGTCGGTTCACGAGCACATGCCACGTATCGCGATGTCGATGGACTGGACGGGGGCTCCTGACCCCTTGTTTGACCAAGGATGCGATGGGTTGTCCGCCTTGCGATCGGATCACGAACTGTCCTCCAGCATGACGCGCGTGTGTACTCAGGTCTCATTGCGTCTTGAGCGCTGGGACATGCTCTGGTAGGTGTCGTAGGGGCGAGCAGGGGATCTGGGTTGTGTTTGGGTCTCTGGAGGTCTGGCGCACGATGCGTACTCGTTGTTTCTGCGAGGCCCGGAACAAACGAGCAAAACGCACCATGCGGCGAGCGTGTTTGAACAACTTGGGGCTGTTCGCGTTGGCGTCCATTACGTACAACACCATATCAACCCACACGGCGGCGGCGGCGGCGGAAAGCTCAGTGTACCCCAACGTGCGGTGGGTGTTTTGGTTTGTGTACCCGTGGAAAACGTGTCTGGGCGGCGCGCGAGGGGAGACAAACGTCGCGGCCACGTCCAGTACATCGTGGTCTTGCCACCGATCTCAATGGGGCCACGTGGCACAAACTCGTCGCAGTGTCTATCGCGGTCGACGCGATTTGTCGAGTTCGTGTGCCAGACACTGGGGTGGACCGGCCCATTTGCGAATACACGCCATGGATATCGATGGAACGTGAAGCCGCCATCCCCAGCATTATAGTCCTCGGACAAAGCCGTGTTAACGCGTGATTGAAAAGCTCGCTCGCACGACATGACAGGTGCCGTTTTATATATAAAGATGGTGGCCCTCGATTCGCCGTACGTTATTTCAACAACACCCTTGACTGCACACAACTGGCTTGGACGACCTCGGGGAGAAGAAGGCGCGACCCAAAACCGTGGATGGAAGAGGGATTGTACATGGCAGGCTGTATTGGGTCAAAAGCGTGAAGACGGTCGAGGTGATGCTCTCGAGAGAGTGACTAAAGATGATGGGGAACCCATAAAACAAAAGACAAACGAGATTGCACGTGATGGACGGGAGACTTGCGCGAGTGAACAGTGGAGCTAGCTATTGTCAACGTCCGTCGCATCCCACGTGACGTCCATGACTTTGGACATGATCCAAACCGAGAGTATTCCAGTCGGATGTACGTGGCCATGGCGTCCTTTTGCTTGCAAAACTGGGTGCCTTGTATCCCAATCGCCACTAGAGTCAACGACCCGCTCGCGTCTCGAGCCACCAGCGGCGCGCCTTGGTCAAACACACAAGGCAGCGGCACTCCCAACGGCGCCTACACGCACATCCCATTCGGACCCTTGTAAGGACACACATCGGGGGGTAGCAATTCGGACGATCCCCTCATGCATCCGTTCATGCACACGAGCACCAGCCAAATTGCCCCGCCCTCGCGCGATCAAGGTGGCCCCCGGCGATAGAGGTTCCCCCATGAAGAATCGGATTGGAGGTACTGTGCTGGTACGTTCAAGCATCAGAACTGCCACGTCAGACGCAAGCGTGTCGGTTTTGTACTCGGGGTGAACAAACGATCTCACGATAGAAATCCGTTCGGCTGCGGGGTCATCGCCAGAGAGGAAACTCGATCCAATCGAAACCCACTTGACGCCATTGTCCAAGCAGTGGGCAGCCGTCACGACATATTTGGCGTGGATCAACGCACCAGTGCAGGAGTTGTTCGTAGTCGCTGACAGTCTCAACCCGACGACGTATTTGTGATCTGAAACCGCGACAAGAGCTTGATTCGTGTCGAAATCCAATAAGGGCTGGAGGAACGATCGCGCTGTCGACAGGCGCGAGTACACTCCGGGGAATTTGTCGCGCACGCAACCACGTGGCGACAATCTCCAGCTAAAGATCCCCACAAGTTCGTCGACGTCGTCGCGTGTAACAGTCAATGGGCCGCCCCAGTCACCGTTGCATGCGGCCGACTTGCCGTCCCCCCCCGCGCACATCATGGACTCCAGAATTTTGCCATTTTCGAAGAAACGAATGCAACTTGACAGATTCCATATCTTGACTAGGGCTTCATTGAGCACGTGGGACATCGGTCCGCCTGGAACACCCGCCCCATATCCGCGCACCATCGCTTCAAACTCCTTTTCCTCTGGTGGTCTCCAACTGATCGGAACAAGAGGCACGGGAGGTCCCACGAATTCCATCTAGAGAACCGAAAAATCGTTGGCACGCGTGTTGGGGTCATATGCAGGATGTATCGTCCATGCCATGATTGGTCTCCCGCTGGGGATTTGTCCAGTCGACGAAACGACTGCATAGGACTGCTTTCCCTTTGCACACGTCGCGGTGGTGAGCAAACACTTGCGCGCGATCAATGTGGCCATGCACATGGGTTCGGGGCATTCGTTGGACAGGTATAGCGACGTGACGTACATGTGGTCCCCATCACGAGCTGGTTTGCCACCGACTATGGTAATTTCCGCCGCAAGGGACAGCATCGGAAGAACGATGAGTACTGCAAGGATGGCGCGGACGGTGCCGCCAATGCTTTGCATCGCCGCCAACAATTGAAGAATGGCGCGATGCATTCGAAATGGCCGAAAAAGGCGCGTTGCGTTGAAATCGCACCAACATTCTTACTTCACTTCAACGTCGAGTGCCCAATCGAATCTGTGGTCGAAGCAACTAGCCAATCAAATCAATTTATTTGAATTTGTAGCCAATCAAAACAGGATGTCATTAATGCTGTATTCACGCTTGGTCGATCGTTTATAGCTGGAGAAGCTGAAGAGACCACGACGAGTTCGCGCCCAACTATCGTTACGATTGCGTGTTATCCCTGGCGCACAAGGAACGTGACCAATGACCAAGCATGTATGTTCGAACTCAATCACGAATTGGGAAGGTAGCGCGGTCTGTCGAGGACAAGGTTCCTGGTCAGGAACTGCTCGACGAAATTGGTCGCGGAGTAGTTACGGACCTTGGCGCCGAGCGCTCTCATCCACGAGGCCAGTCCGAGTTGCGTTCAATCAGATCGTTGCGGATTGCATACTGTTGAGCCAATCATGCGCCGAGCTTCCCCCATGCACTGAACCCCGGAAAAAAACGACATGTTGTCATGCTGAAAAGCATGGAGGCAGAGAATAATGTGTTCATATCTGCGAATTTATCCAAGCTGATTGGCTATAATCAGAAACATTTCTGATTATAGCCAATCATCTTGGATTTTCTGTCAGTCAATCTAATCAACATTTTGTCTCTACACTTCAATTGGTCAAAAAGAAAGGCATTTCGACGTGGCATTGAAGAATTCAGGAGGTAGAATTTTATAGAGATTAATCATGTTATAGAGGTCGTCGGCGTTTTGAACGCTATTTCCAGGGTTCAATATCCTGATATGATTTTCCAGTAAAATCTAAAGTTAGTCGCAAACCCCGCACGCCATTGTGAACGCGATCATGCCAGTGAGGAGTGCATTCCGAACATCGGCGCATACGTGCTTCACAATGCGACTGCGGTTTTCGCGCGAGTGTTGCACGACTCCACGTCGTCAAGTTCAAGCGGCGCGTATCTGACATGTGAAGCGAAGGACACGGGAAGTTCCATGTGTAAGAGTGACGTGTGATGGGGATGGACCTTTCGATTAATCAATACACGATGTATTGATTAATCGTACGGGATCGTATGGACGGGAGCGTATGGATGGAAATGCTGCCGTGACGTTGCGTGCTTATGAAGCTGCTACTTTGCCAAGCACAAGAACTGTTCGATGAAGCCTCGACCGGCGGAGAGGCGACTAAATATCTGGAACGCAGGACGCGAATTGCACCAAAAGCCCGACTGGATCCCAACAAGAAAGTCGTTGCCACCAATGTTTGCAAAGAGCGACCCAAACACGTACGACGCACAGTCGGGAAACCAGTCGTTGTCGCCACACACGACCTCGTTGGCAATGGAGTGGTTGAACTTTGCAGTGCATTGATCGTTCGTCATGATTTGGACCGACGTCTCGAGGACGATTTTGGAAGCATTGTCACCGTTGAACGGGTTCCATCCACGCATGGTCGCAATTGCGCCGGGTTTGAGGTCGTCCCAGAGAATGCCTACCGGCGCGACTTTGGCTGGTCTGTCCAAAAGCGCCATGGCAAAGTCGAGCGTTTCATGGATACTGATCCACACGACGGGAATCCAGTCACCGTCATCCAAGCCACCGTCAACCCTCGCTGGGCCCACAACAACCTTGTCGCCCTTTTCAAAATATGCCATGCACCTGCGCGTGAAGAGGGCAGCATGCGTGTCAACGAGGACTCCTTGGCACTTCATCGGTTCAATCGACATGGATCGGAGCTGGCACATGTACGGCGCCGCCTCTGCACTCTGCACGGGAGCCGAATATGAGCGCACAACGGCATGGGTAGTCATGGTGCCAAGCAGCACGCACGTCCGAAACAGCATGAGCACGATGCGTAGAGTTGAAAAATGCATGCAAGCTTCGTTGCTCCCGTGTGGCTTGCATTCCGATTGCAGGTAGAAACACCGTGATGACCAGTCATTTCCATGGAAATTCATTCGTCGGACAGACGTCACCAGGGAAAATCCTCCCCAAGGATATCCTCCCCCACTATGCCCACCAAGAGCACCCACATGCATCGAGCCTCCGTCCTTTGCTCGTTTCAGTGCGTACTGCTGGTGGAGCGCATACGTCTTGACCAACAATCATGCGTTGATTTGCAACGCGTCAACGCCTATGCACTCTAGTTGCAACGAGAGTGCACACGAGGTATCAAGAAGAAAGGAGATTGTGCCTTCTTCAATTGCAATGTGCCTGTCGAAGTATGGGGCAACACACGAACCTGGTTGGTGTGGTTCTGACATAGCTACCCGGTTTTGAATTTGACGGCCGTTGTCATGTGCTTATTTACGTCTTGCATGGCGATGGAATGCGCAACCATTTGTCACGTCGAGTCGACATTACCACCATTGCCCTTCATGTTTAGCTTTCGCTAATGTGCACGACAACCTCGCCATCGTATGACGATGGTGTGCCCCTCAAGCTTTCAGTGGTGGCAAATCGTCGCATCGAAGGCTTGAGTAGTTCCTTCAACCAACTGCCTTGGAGAATTCCTCGACGACGTCCTCCAAGAAGAAGGCCTGCATGCTAGGCAGCTACACTCTGGTCACCTCTACATCCGCACACTTGTCGTCAACTACTTCTATCTCTCTTGTTCGAGTTATAATGGGGTGAAATAACACCAACCCTGAACATTTTGGCCGGCTACATAAACCTGAGCGATAGTGTTTTCCCGGTGACCGTTACGAGCGCTGTTTCTCATCACTGTATCCATTATAGCCAAAACGAGCCGTTGCCTCGTGTGGCCAACTTCTTCATGTTGAAAAGGAGTTCGCGTACAAAGGTTTGGTGTATTGTTGTTGCACTTGCCATGAGCAACACCAAGTCTATCGAAGTTGGCCGCAAGGCATGAAAAGGAAAATGCAACTCGATTGGGAATACTACATGCGGGGGCGAAGGGGAGTCGAGCACCATGTGCTCGATAGCAGTCCCGCCACGACGCCTTGCCACCGATTTCGATGATGAGACCGCCATAGATGTAGTTATTGCACCCGTGAAACGAGGCGTTGTCAGTGCAGGCAGGGATCGGTTGTTTGCTCTCGCACTTGTCCAACTGCATTCAACCCGACAAATCCATTGCATTCCACAAACTATTTTTTACGCCCATAAGTCAACGATATCTGGCGAATGCTTTGGAACGCACAGACCGCGCTTGAACTTTGGCTGGGTAGCGGAGGGACTAGGATGTCATGAGAGTAGTAGCATGATGCGTCTGTCCATCGATGGGCGAAAGCGCCATTGCTCCCCGTGATAAAATCTCGATAAGCGAGGCTACCTCAATTTGATGTGACAACAATGCGCCATCGGAGGATTCTTTGAAGGCACGAGCTTTACCTGCAACTTCACTGCAGGCGAGAGGGTGTAACTTTGATTGGCTATAAAAATGTCAAAAAGTGCGCACGGATTGGACCATGTTGATCCAATGTCGGGATGACGGTACTTGATTGGACAACTGGAGATCTTGAACGGACACGCAAGTTTTGGTTCAACTCGTTCGTGTCTGGAAGACTCGTTGGCACTCACTTTTGAATTGGACGGCTCTCAGGATGAGCCTTCAACCAAACTCAACCACCGCCCTCGGCGGAAATGGCACCCAACACATGTATCTGGCTGGATTAAGTCCCAACAAGACATCACCTTCCGTGTGCAGTGGCACGCTCGTCGCCCCCACATGGCTACTTACTCTAGCGGAGTGTGTTCAAACTTCCAAGTGGGCTGCTATCGGCGCCAAGTGTGGGTTGGGTGATGTTGAAACGGAACGCATTCCAGTTATCCGATACGTGGTGCAGCCACTATCCACCACGACTACCAACGCGAGCTACCATCCATTTGCTATGTTGGAGCTACAAACCGCCAGCAGGTACACTCCAGTCACGATCTCTTGGAACGAAACCATGCCTAAAAACTCAACACTGTGGATCCGCGGATTTGATGTCGCCTACACGAACAAGAGAATCGTGGAAACTTCAGCGACACTGATGGCCTACGAACTGTGCGACAAATTCTATGTCGACCACCAAGAGTATGGCCGAACGCTCAACACTCTCATGCACTGCATTCACAGCAACCAGTGCGACCAAGAACGAGGAAGCGCTGTCATGTTTGATTGGAACAGCAAAAGTCAACTTATTGGGCTGACCTACTGGCAATGCCGCAACAATGGGGTCGCCCCAGCGTCTACATCCGTATCAACACAGCAAAGGAGTTCATCCAAACCGTCATCAAATCTCCAACACCCACGCCGAATTTTCAACTCACATACATCCCTACAGATTCCACCAGCAGCCCCACACGCCCATCCATAACGAACCCGAATCGACCTGTATCTAGTCTTTCGACTCCTGCAACCTCCAGTCCGACACCGACTGGCCCGATTGTCTCCACCACGACCAGTCCATCCGCGACGGCACCTTCGACCACCAAGCCCGA